GATCTGGCGACGTCTACAAACAAATGCAATTATTTTTGGATCAGTGGTGCATATCCTCAACCAATGAATATCAATTAGATTATAGTAGAGGAACAATATCATACGACAACCGATTTGCTTTGATTCATTTAACAATACAAAAGGCTCTTACAGTGCTGTCAACTTATTAATTTTACTCAGTTGGCATAGAATGGTGGAATCTTTGACAAGAGATCTAATCAAGAAACTAAAAAGGATTGAAAACTACCTCTTTAGCAACCTCAGGTGCACTGACACCTGGCTGATATTGATGAGTTGCTTCATGTGCAGTCAACTGTGACTTTTGTATGAATGATCTGCCACAATGCGAACACGAATACGGTCGCTCACCGGTGTGGGTACGCTCATGACTCTGTAGATTGCCTTGACTTGCGAAAGCTTTTGGACAATAGCGACAGGTATAGGGCCGCTCACCGGTATGTGTTCGAACATGCACCTGTAATATCACGAATCGTTTGCAGTTCATCGAAATGCATGGTCGACTCTATCCGATGTAGTTCAACTCGTCTCTTGCACTCAGTTCGTATGCATTGTTCACTGCGTTTAGCATTATAAAGTTTTGCTAAAAAACTGAGAAGTTGATCTTTTTGGACGCAGAATCTTGCAGAGCATATGCCAAAAAAGAAACTGAAAATGCGAACCTGTAAACTTCCAGCGTATGCGAATGTCTTATTGCAGTATTGGCATATGTGCTTGCGTTCGTTTTGCTCATGCACTTGTTTCACATGCAGTTTCAAATAGTTTTTGAGCGTGAACGTCTTCGGACAGAATTCACAAGTGAACGTCTTCTCGCCGTGAGTTTTCTTGTGCGTATACAACGCTGATGGTGACGAGAGTAGCTTGCTGCATTTGGGACACTTATAGTTTCGAATGCCTGCAAACGTAAATTCCTAAATCGAGAACGATGATAAAAGCCATCAAAGTGAATGATCAATTTAGTACGATTGACTGAAATGAAGCAAAAGAATCAACCAAGATGGTCATTCGAGATCGTAGATTTGATATCGACTTCGTTCACAAACGGTGAGCTTACATTTTTTTTTTGACCAGCTGCCGGACATTCTTTGATTTCGCCTATGTATGTCATAAATTTAAGAAGAAGAAACCAGATTGCAAACGTGAGTTTTCCATTTTAGAAGTGTACTTCGAAAGATAAAAAACTAAATTTGCTGAAACAAACCCAAATGAGCGCTTTTCTCATGGACCGTTTTTGTACCATACTGTGCGAATGTCTTTTCACAATATTTGCATTTATACCTGAATATAATACAGTTAATACTCACATTCACATTCTCTTCCAATCATCCAATTTTGAGAGAGTTTCATCAAAAATTTAATGAAAACTATACAACCTTCAATTGAATCTTTGCTTACTCTTACAGTAATACACAGTTTATTTGTCTGCGAAGTATCTTCTACTCAAATCTTCGCAAACCTGACATATACAAACGAGGCCTTCACATAGACAAACTACATTCTGTTTTGACATAGGCAAACTATATTTATTTGTCTGCTTGAAAAGCAGCATACTTCAATAATTCAAACCAAGTTATCTGCAGTTTCTCTGATCTATTCATCAGCTGCACATATGCAATGCTTAACTCGATAGTATACAATCAGTTCATTCGAGCTGGGATTATCTATTGTTGTCAATTATAATCAAAAGGTAAAGGGTAATGTGCGAATAAAAATCCGCTTACGGTCTCTCTCCGGTATGTGTTCGTTCGTGTACTTGAAGGGTGGCCTTTTGAGCGAATTTTTTATCACAAAAATGACAGCTGAACGGCTTCTCGCCTGTATGACAGCGTTTATGTGACTCAAGAATCGACAGATAAGGGAAGGCCTGAAATACGTCTTATTGAGAGTGATACTTCCAAGTAATAGTTTCAAATGGAAGTGCTCTCCAAGTATTTATGAAAGTGATTCTGCAAGTGATCATTACAAACGCTGGCAACCTGTTCCAAATGTAAAGCGTGGATTTAATATTCTCACAGTATTCTATATTCACTGACTGACTATTTTCTTAGTT